CAATATATTAGTTTAATTGATCAAGTTTGTTTTCAACAACTCAAACAAATTCAATGGAAATATTATCTTCATCTTGGTTTGACACAAGGTATCTGGCATGGTCAGATGTCTAAAACATCTGCTGAAAAGTATTCCATATGCCATACATACGGAAGATCGAAATCTGTGATTGAAGAACGTATCAGAGTCATCGAAAAACATTTAAAACAAGCACAAGATGCCATTACACAGTTTGAAGAAAAGATCTTATCAGAATGTGAACAAAATCATGATTGTTTAAGTGTATTGAAAGAATTAAACACAATTATTTATCAATTAGTTCAAGAAAAACAACAAATTGTAAAAGATAAATTCGAATATCAAAGAAAAATGTTACTTTTCAATGCAACTGACCATCTGTTACTTAAAAATTTCTTCGATATTGAACCAAACAATAGACATGTGAGCATATCAACTATAATATTTAGTCCAATAAAATCATATTTCTCTCTCGTTTCAATTTGTTACAGATCACATGGGCAAGGCATATATGGAAAGCAACAAAAGACCAGTTGATAATAGAAGAAGATATTGCTTTGTTACAACATCGTCCTATATCTACAACATTAAAATCAACATCTCATTTACTTCATAAAATCATCAATAATATTGACAAAAATATTCAAAAACTCAATATTCCAATAACCGACTCAACAACCACTTATGCTTCGTCGAACAACAATGAAACACTAATAACTTTGAAGAAAGAAATTATTCAACAAGCTATCTTTATCCATCAGAAAGAACATGAACAAATCCAAACAACTATACAAACCGAACAGAACAAGTTTTTCGTTGAAAATACATATATGGAAACAACATCTGAATATCAGAAACGTGTGAACGAAGCTATCGAACAACGTGGACAACATATGATAGAACGCGAAAATTATACCAAACAATTCCTTTTATCATCATCATTCAATCTAACAGATCATCAACCATCAACAAGCGATTCTTAGAAACAACTTCAACCCATAATACAACTGAACTTTCTTCTCATTAAAACTTCTTTCGTCACATTCATCCATAACTTTCAACCATTTCCAATACTTAACTAACACGAGCATCGCGCATAATGAAATTCTTCTTTTCTTTTAGATATCGTACCAACGATAACTAACAGCAATTGAATACATCGAACTGTTTATTATTCACATGAATTCCACCTAATACGCAAGGCAATATATATCAACTCACGAACCTTCCAAACAACAATTCACTCAGATCAACAACAATGACTATTCACAACATCAAAGCCTTCCACAACAATAAAATTTAATCTAATCTTTACCTACAAACTAACTACACGGTAAGCACTTCCCCTTTGAAAAATTTTCAGTCAATTGAAATAATTTTTACTTAATGCTATTATTCACAACTTTTTCACGTTGAAATAATCCTGTATCATCATTTTTGAGCTTTAAGCCATTTGAAAACGAATTTTAATAGATTCGAAATCGATCATGGCAGTTCTAGCTCACACCCTTTGATTTGAATAGCCTCTATTTACGGATTCACCAGAACTTCCAGGAGTAATTACTAACTATAAAAGAAAATGGAAGAGAAATTATATCATAGACAAAGAAAAACCATAGAATTACTGTGTGAATTGTGTGAGATGATCGTTTTCCTTTGTATCCAGTTCTCACTACTGTCGTTGAGTCTAATCTCCATGCACATGGTACTGGTGATCGACCGGAATATTTAGCTGATTCTATTGCTACAGCTTTTCGCATTCGACCTTTTTGTAATGCTTGCATAACACAAACTCCAACAACCATAGGAATGATTCAAAAACCTGCAACACCTCCTCCAATACCAAGAAATAGGATGGTTGTTTTTCCATCCGAATCTTTCAATGTTGCAGCAACAATCAATAATGCACATCCGCCTAGTAGACATACGAATGGTAAAAGAACACAAAGAATCAGTGCTAGAATTGAAGTAACTGATTTGTTGATATTATTGAGTGACTCTTCAAATTCATGTGGATTTCCCATGTAGCCGTTTTTCTACAATAATGTAAATTACAATGCATTATTGCACCATAGGAAAATAATGGTGCAATTACATGATAATGCAACACTTTTTCACGCATTTTCATTAATTAAAATACCGTTCATGAATTGTAATCTATTGATTATCTCAGTATTACAATGAATTAAAACGAGCAATGCATTATATTGAATTTTTAGAAGTTGGTTCTCATTTGGCTACGCCAGCTGCTCCAAAACCGGTTGCAATACGTTGGACGTCTTTAATGCATGACAATTTCATGTATTGTCAATTGATCCATCGAGTGCTACAATGCGTTATTCATGAGTTGTTATCATTTCAAACTCTTTCTGCTGTTTTAGTCTATTTTAATAAAATATTCTCACCAATTGTTGAGAGTGCAACGTTATATTCTTTGTGTCTCTCCTACTGTAATTAACAACAACATGCTCTAATTTTGGAATCTTTCTCAAAGCAACTAAAATAAGAAAAAATATTCTTTTGTGTTAAAATAGAAAAGCTGACGACACGCATGTTAAGAAAAGAAAGGTTATTGGTATTTTCCTAATTGAAAGTATCGATAAAATTGAATGGGGTAAAATAAGTCAATGAGTTAATCAATTTTTTGGCGTATAACTAACTAAGCCAGGTATCTCAAGAACAAAATAGTCTCGAAAGAAGGTTAATACAGAAAGAGAGGTGCGCTCACAGAAGTTTGGTATTTTTTATTAAGTTTTGAAAGAGCGTCTTTCTAATTTATCTAATTATATTAATGCTGATCAACCGGAAGACATTGCCATCTAACGGAATTAAATATGAAATCTGGACTAAAGTACAGTTGGTCGAAGCAATATAGGCACTCTCGATATTTACTACTGATTTCTTTTCTTTAGCGATCAACTGACTATATTACTACGTCAGACTGTCGAAACAAAGCTTTTACATTAGAATAGTCAGACTTGATTGTGTACTTAAACATGTTCGAAAACCGAAATCGAAATAGAGCACTGAAATAGCTACTGATCTACCTATTTATTTATAGATACACAGATAAGTAGCACTTAACTAATGGCACCGAAAAGAAGAAAACAAACTTCGTCGTCTGATGAAAAAGTGTTTGCTGTTATACGCGATCGCAAAACCTCGAAGTCTCAGGTGATTCCAGTTGATCGGTTATCATACTCGAAAAAAGATAATTTGAAAATTGGCACATCGGTTGCTTTCAAAGGTACAGATGGTGCATCCAGACGATGTCAAGGGATAGTAGTAGCAAAAGGTAGCTGAATTTCATGAATTTATTAAATATTTTGTTTGCCTAAAGGTACCAAACAACAATGTGATCAAAGTCTTTCAATCATAGAAAAGTCGAACAGCGTCGACACGAAGGATTCTAGCGATTCAGACAATTTACAAATTGATGAACGCGCTGTAGTCAGCGATAGTGATGGGGAAAATGTCGATCATTCGGACGATGACAATGAAACTGCAATGCCCTTGTCCATTTCGAAGGAATCCAGTTCGGTTATAAGCAAGGATAAAAATCCAACGATATCATCGGCAACATCCACAAGTAACAGTGCTTCGATAACTTTACCTGCTGATATTGAACCATCAACTGATGTCGGTAAGCGAGTTTTTTTTATCGATTAACCCTAAATGAGAATTCTCGATTTAGCGTTGAGAGATATATCGAACGACACCAATGTCAACAGTAAACGAAAGGAACTGACGAAAGAATCGACACCTATCAACAATAAGAAACAGAAACGTTCCGCTGTAATATCTCACTCGGACTTTGAAAGAGCACTACGTGAAAACGCACAGCTGAAGAAGGAACTGACCATGTACAAAGATAATTGGATGCGTAAGTATACTTCGTTTACTACGCTGTCTAAAATATGTATTTTAGCTCGTCCAAAGGGTGCGGCCATGACATATTTCATTGATGTCGGAAAGGTACTAGCTGGTGCCTTCGACAACCAAGACGACGAAGATAAAGGCGAAAAACTGGAAAACATTTGTGCTGCATTAGGTATGAATGAGAAGGAGTTGAAGTCATGTGAGCATGAAACCGACATAACCAAGACATGTCGACAAATAATCAAATTTATTTACCGTGACTCCAAAGAACGAGCAAGAACGCTTGTATCAACGATGAATACAAATATATTGCACTCTATCCAAGGTAAGAACTCTACTTCTTACTGATCGATAGATTTCATAATCAAAATCTTTAGAATACGCGAAAATGGCTCATCCAGCTCTCTCAAAGATAAACAATTCAGTGCTTAATAATGCTATTGGTAACGTCTTCGCAACCGATAAACGCAGATTTGAGCGGGATGGAATCCAGATTTTCATGGGCAACGACGTGAACGACGTTGATGAAGACGATGAAAACTTTTAAAAATGCGGCGGTACTTACCCTGATCGTAATTTCATCGAAGTTGCGAACGTCTGGTTTGTTTGTTCACATGCTTGTCAATTTTTATTTCATAACGTCCGATTAAATTGTTCGACTTATATCATTTTTTAATTGTCTTTAAAATAAAATAAATCTAGAAATAGAAAGGGATGGTTTCTTGTGCTTGCGATACTATTATTTCAGAACCTGATGTCTGCCGCAAATCGCTCCACTGATTGGCGTCGTAAACAAGCAAGAAAAGTCAGAAGCGATATCGGTATAGAGCGTCACGACTGTTTACCTCAACTTTGTTCTCGACTTTCAGCTTCGGTGTTTAGCCAAATGATCACACGCCAGGCGCACGATGTTGCTGAACCTGTCATTGGCGAAACAGCTGGCTTGAATACTGACTGTCATTCTGACAACGACATCTTCATTGATGGTGATGATCAAGAGATGTTATCGCCTACTGATTCTAATTCGGAGCAGGAAAAAAACGATTTTGAACAAATGTAAGCTTTCTTAACTAATGTTGCAAAAATAATACCGTAATAATTTTCTTTTCTCCATAGACCGCAGTTTGAACCTATTGCGATAGGTGAGAGCAACTCTGACGTGAAGATAGATTGTGTTCAAATTGCGGTGGCATTGATAGCTTTGAAATCAAGACATCGTCTCTCTAACAAGTGTATCGACGATATTCTCTCTCTTCTCGGCCTCCTCGGTATTGACGTTCCATCAAGTTACAAAGCATTATGCACAGTTCTGAGAAAGCGTTCGAGCACTCACTTGAATCCTTCGAAATATACTATATGTCCTCATTGCGATAATTTATCGTCGGCTCTATATGAATGCACAACGTGCGGTGTTAAATATGCACCAATTTTGCCATCGAAAATTCCTCTATTCTATACTTATAGTATTTCTCAACAGCTAAAAGCGATTCTTGCTACATCTCCAGACTTGTCACTTGTCAATAACAATTGTCCAAGAAATGAATTCATGAGAGATATTACGGATGGTAGTGTTTATCAAGCTTTAAAGAAGACCCAGACTGGATTACTTTTAACTCTAACCATGAATATCGATGGGGTACAACCGAACAAAGGATCGGATCAAAGTCTTTGGCCGATTTTGCTCGTTATCAATGAAATAAAGCGAAAAAAGCGATTTGCTCTAGAGAATTTAATTATTGCGGGCATGTGGCCAGGCCCATCGAAGCCGTCACGTACTCAAATACATCTGCTTTTCAAGAATATTATGTTGGAATTACAAGAACTTGAGCGAGGTGGTCTCTTTCAGTTTTATTCGTCTGATCATGAAAATCGTTTTGAACTCACAAAAATATTTTTAATTGGAGCCTGCTGCGATAAGCCTGCCCAGTCGATCGTACAATGTCTACCTGAGCCTACAGCATTCTTTGGTTGTGGACATTGTGAACTTATGGGTAAGGGAGTCATAGCTACATTTAAACTAACAAGCTGACATTGATGCTAAGTTCGTCCGCGACTAATTTTCTCCATCTTACGGCGATATAGCATAGAGAGCACGGTTTCAATTAACTGAATCACGTTTGTCCAGTGAATCCGATAGACTTAAAGAGCTGAAGCAGATTGACACGTTAAGACTCAATCCAACACAGAATGCCAAAATATATATTGCAGGTAGTCCATCTATCACTGAACTTTGAGTTATGTAGCTATTCGAGAAACAAAATCACTGACTTGTATCGTGAATCATTGAGATTGACAGTACTAAACATGAGATAAGAAAAATCTTCATAAGTACTTTCGATAAACAATTAAAAGAAACATCTGTATTTCTCACCAATTCAATAACTTTTCAGGCGTCAGTGTATCAACAAATAATAATGGGTCAGTTGTGAGTTTTGCGATTTATGAAACAGATCCACCTACAAATGAACGCACAAATGAAAGACACGATCTACTCATTAAACAGTTGCACAGAAATGCAATTGAGCTGACTGCCAGTACTTATCGTGGCAGGCGTGATCTAACAGATAAACACAAACAATCAGAAAAAGGTGTCAAAGGGCCATGTGTACTACGATCATTGTCCAATTTCGACGTTGGTTCTTCTTTTCTGGTGGATAGTTTGCATAACGTCTACTTGGGCCTGTTTGTATGTTTTGGGTGTGTCTATTTCCATATATATATGAAAGAAGCTATTTACTGTAGAAACGAATACTTTCACTTTGGCTCAGCCCTGAATACAAGGGCGAGTGTTGGTCGATCTGGATACGAAGAAACGAATTATCAATTCTATTGAATCGAATTCGCTTTCCATCTACAACTACACGTCATCCGCGTTCACTGGACAAGTATACCAAGTATAAAGGCAGCGAGATTCGACTTGTTTTGCTATTTGGCTACGCAATCTTCGAGAATATCCTTAAACCTGAATACTATTCACATCTACTTCTACTTGTATTGATTATCCATTATGTAAGTTTACTTGTGTAGAACAAAATCGAGATCGAAATGTTATGAGCTTTGCATCTTACAGGCTGAGTCGCGACGTTTAACTAATTCGATGATTACGATTGTGGATAAATTGTGTCGCGCGTTTCTTATTGATTTTCCAAAACTGTATACTAGTCGGCATAACGTTCAGGTATAATTTTTTGTTATTGAGTGAAATACGTACAATCGGATTGAATCCTTTGATCGTAATTGTTTTGAGCACTCGTACAATTGAACAATAACTGAAATTAAGCTTCTTTCATAGTTTAATTACACATAATCGTATCTTACGTATATGAATATGTTCTTCTCACATATTAGGTCGTTCATTCCATTTTACATATTTCGAATACACTACGTCGATTTGGTCCTTTGTCCACTTATTCTACATTTAATTTCGAGAACCAATTAGGTTAGGAAAAGTAGTTTTTTATTGTTTTGTATGTTTTCAAGATACCTTTACCTTTTAGGTTTATTAACTCGGTCATGTAAAAGTACAAGACGGCATGCAATTGAAATAATGAACAATCTAATGTATCTACGTGACGCATGTTTTGAGCTGAAGACTGGTGGTATGCATTATGACTTACTTAAACTAGTTTCAGAATGGCTACACATGTCCGATTCCTATGTTGTGTCACTTAGCAAATCTGTTCGTATTTCACACCCACTTCGAATTATTGACCGTATAGTGAACACTACTTTTGTTGGTGATATCAACTACTATGCCGTTGCAGCGATAGGTGAAATACGATTTACAACTTCCGACTTTGCTAGTAAAAAGGTTAGTGATGATTCTTCGATCGTCTTCAAAGCTGGTTCAGAAGAAAATTTCGGTCGAATTCGTCGAATTTTCACAGTCAACGATGGCGATCCTATATTTTACGTCGACGTGCTCACTAAACCGAACGCGTTTCAGTGCACAACAGGATCACAAACATATTATTATTCTAATATTCAAACTGGAACTTTGAACGAAGACGCCGACAACGCATTTATATGTGCGTCTGATATAGTAGAAAAGTGTGTATGCTACAAACGCAATGACAAACTTTGTACCTTTTTCAGGTTTCCTAACCTTGAAGAATGTTCTTGAAAAACCTTTCTTGGAAAAATCCGATATTTGTTTTATATACTTTTGTGATACATTTCTGAAATTTCCTACAACGCAACGCGTTGATAACGATTCAACTGGTGTTTAAACTAGAGACTACAAGTCTAATAGAGTTTGAGTTTAAGAACTAGCAGTTAGAGATTATTTCAGAGGATATTGCTAACAAATGTTTTATTGGTGTATACAATCGAGAGTGCACTGCGTTTTCGTCAGTCATACGTTGAAACGTAGTCTTTCCTTATGTATAAGATCTCTGGTATTTGAACAATTTGTCGTAAAAAACATACGGCCTTTTGAAGATCAACAGTTACATCACAAGCTGAATATTGCTCGAAATAATGACTTAAAACGCAATAAAGTTCCGCGCAGATCTGACTGAACTATTCCTACAAACAATGCCTACCATTCTATTGAAATAACACGCATTATTTGATATTGACACATTATTCTAGATAATATCGTATAACTCATTGAACGCCAATGAGTTACAAAACATTTTAAGCATTATCTTGATCAATGCGTTAAAATACGTGCTTATTTTACAATAAACTTTCATCAAATGTGCATCATTTTGAATAATGCCTGATAATGCATTGAGAATCAATTCATTTTTTATTTTGATTAGATTCTTTCGGAATAAAGTTACATAATGCATTGACACTTAATGAATTGTTTGCCATTTTTGACATTATTTAATATAATGGCTCGACATGAATTGAAACTTTTTCTCACAAACGCGATTGTTCGATCTTCATGAAAATAATGCAGTAAAATGCATTAATAAAAAATTCATTATTTTGATTTTTAGCATTGTTCCGAATAATGTTAATTAACGCACTGTTTTCCAATGCATTTCGAAGCATTATTTGAGATAATTTGAAATAATGCATTAAATTACAATTCAATTCTGACAAAATTCCTCGTTCAGATTTTGATCCCAACAAAATACTTTGCAATGCATTATATATCAATGAATTACACAACATTAAAGACATTTTTTCTGAATAATGCTATGCAATGAATTGAAATCGAACTGATTATTTGAGATTTCTGTAGATTTTAAAATAATGCCGTGTAAGACGTTACAATTCAATGCATTACTTAACATTTTAGACATTATTTGTAAAAAACGCTTAATAACTTTCGCAAAAAGGGCAAATAATTAGTTGTAATTAATTTTTTTCTCTATTTTCAAAAAATAATGGAAATCAATGAACCTGTTTTGCATTTTTTGTCCATTATCAGCTACATGGGTTATTATTCCATTTAATTGATTCGGATAGGTTGTATCAAATCATGTATTACATAAACACGCATCTTAAACAGAAAAAATTGTTTATTCGTTGAATAGGAGAATACTATTTTTATTCTTTACTTTGAACCATAGAAATATGAATTGAACGTGCATATCCAGAGGTACCAATCATGATTAGTGTTAGAAAGTAGAATAATTTCACTCGTTTTACTGTTTCTCTTTTTCTTTTTATATCGAACAACAACAAAAAAGAACTCACAGTTTAATTTTGAGATTTACGTCATCACAACAATGTAGACAAACAGAATAAGAAGAAGGAATGACATACGCGTTATAAAAAGACAGATGTCGTTTATATGAATTCCACGCTGAAATACTTTATAATTTATTCGGCGATAGACTCTGACAAAAAATATCTATGATTCATACGTTTCCTTGGGTTACCAATGTGCATTGAATAGTTTTTCTCGTTCTGTAAATTATATGTTGTGAACAAATAAAACTCGTTTCAATTGAAATCTGAAAGTCATCAGAGAGAAAATTTCTACCTGATTTTATCATTTAAATAAATAGAGAATAAAAAAACTCACAACAGAAAATGAATGCAATAGGTTCTACCTCTCACAAAAGATGTAAAAGTATTACTTTTATATTGGTAATTTTGGAAGTAATTTGTAAAGAATTATTGCAATGAGTAAAAATATAATTATAATTATAATCGTTTAGATTTTCGAAGGGATCGTGGAGTTTTGTGATAGGACATTAACAAAGGAATTGAGTTTTTATTTATATACAATGTATTTTTTATGTAGATAAAAATAGTTTTGATAAAAATGATAAGACAGAACACAACATTCTTAGAGACCGTGATAACCGTTCCACAAGTATGGTGATAAGAATCGCAACTTTAGTTCATAGTTATGGTATACACTGTCTGAACAAATATTTAATTAAAATAAAATCAATCGTAAATACCATTATATCTTTACTGTTTGCTGAAAACTCTTTATTGATTTGTATGAGCCGTAGGTTAGTCAGCGACGTTAAATATTGCACTACGTGCTATTTATGAAAAACTAAGTTGACTACGTCGATTATCATATAAAGCTCATTGATTTTGCTTAGATATTGCCATCGGATTTTAACGATATAGTCCCTTGAAATGTCTTCGCCTGATCAAAGCGCGATAACCAATATGAATAGTAATTCAGATCGTAACTGTCGTTTAACATTGAAAGATGGCTTACAATTTATTTCGTCCTTAATTTTACCATTGATGCTCGGTGTATTCACTGTTATAATTACCCTTGAACAACAGCGAATAAGTCAAGAACAACGAGCACAAGATCTAGCAGAGCTTCGTTTGCAACGAGAACAAGATATGAATATTTCTATGCTACAACGTGCATTAGATAAACAAACAGCTAAAGAACAACGAGAAGAGGCTGAACTTCGACGTATTCAAGATTTAAATATATCTGAAAGTAAACGAGCACATGATAATGAATTGGCTGAAAAACAACGTGATCTTTTGGAAAGACAACGACTTCACGAGCTTGATATCGAGACGCAAAGACATCAAGATACATTACTCGTTGCCTATATGAATGAAGTTGGAATTTTACTTGAAAAGAGTAATGGATGTCTTTCATTGAATCCTCTCATAGCTACACTTGTCCGTGTGAAAACATTGACTCTCGCACGTCAAATAGATTCAACGCGAAATACACAAGTAATCCAATTTTTGTATGAAGCAGGACAGTTAACAAATGGTCAACAACCACTCGATCTTCATGATGCAGAGTTTAATGGTATCGATCTCAGTAGTAGCACGGTTCACTCAAAACTGCATAAACTTTATTTATTTGGAGCTCGCCTTAATAATGCATCTTTTCGGAATCGTGATCTAACGAACGCTAACTTTAGTGAAGCTTATCTTCAAGATGCTTCTTTCGTACGAACATATCTTGATCACGTAGATTTTTCTCGGGCTACCCTTATCACAACTGATTTCTATAAATCCGAATTTATAAATTCAGTTTTTAATTACGCAACTATGATTGGACTTCGGGTATTAGACGCAGGTTTCAGTACATGTCAATTTATTGGTGCCAACATTCGAAAAATGAATATTGATCCTCGAACTAGTTTTTCCTCTTGTAATTTCACGGATACCGTTGATCTATATCACATGAATTTCACCGACGTAGATTTTCAATCATCCTATTTTAAAAACGTTTACATACGTGAAAATATTTTTGTTGGAGCTATCTTTCAATCGGCGAAATTTATCAATACGAAACTGTCTCAAAATGATTTATCTCGCATCAGTGCTAGCAATATTCGTTTTAACAATGTTGAGCTAAGTAGTATCATATTTACGAATTCAATTTTGACAGAATCCGTCTGGGTTGATTCTCGCATCATCAACAGTAACTTCGAGCATGCAAACTTGATAAATGCCAACTTTCGGAAGACCATTGTAAAAAATGTAACTTTTTCCCAAGCAACAATCACGGACGGTAGCTTCATTGACGTTTCTCTGTCAAACAGCAATTTTTACCAATGTCATTGCGATCATATGCGATTTGATGGTTCATTAATGGACATTGTTTCTTTTCACAAAGCCGTATTGGCACAAAGTAGTTTTTCGGATTCTTGGAAACTCAGCAACGTAAATTTTACTGGTATTGATGGACGAGATGCTGACTTCAGCTCGATTAATCTGATCACAAATACTTTCGAAGGAGCACAGCTTATAGGGGCAAATTTTGCTTGGTCAGTGTGCGATTCTGTCAACTTTCTTGATGCTGATTTGACTGATGCTGACATGTCTCATACATTCCTGTCAGGATCAAATTTGACACGTGAGCAACTCGACAAAGCTATGTCGATCAGTGACACTTATTTCCAAACGAAAAAACTTCGTAATCCGAATTTACTAGTGAGTAGCCTTACCAGCTGTGATTCCAATATTCTTTCAGCCGAAGAAACAGTTTGGATTGTCAATCCGCGCGATACTCAAGTTCAAATAGTTCGTCCAGATAAGACACGTTGTTATTTTTCTACAGGACCAAACATGACACACCCGATAACAATGTCACAGCAAGTAAGTATATCAAAATATGAACGTCTTATCGGTAAAAAGAAGGCAGATGTGTACGTTGCAATCAATATTTGGAGCACCGCCATCACAGCTTATCTTACGGCTTCTGGACCAAAGCGGGCTCCTGCCAATCATACATTCGGTAAGTCAGCGACATAGATTCATAGCTATGTTCATTGTAAATTTCTTTGTTTCTATATTCTAGAAGTAATAAAACAGTCACGACAGCAATTATTAAAACCTGTTTTTGTGCCTTTGTCTGGTACAACACAACTACTCTTATCCATTGTTTTCGAATCAAATACCAGTATGTGTAATAGTATTGATTTATCTGTTCAACATCGACCGATACAAAACTGAGAATGTAAATGTCAATATTCTGGTCTTCATATTGTCACATTCACAGCACCCGTGCTTTTCCATCAACTCGCAATGCATACAAAACACTACTATATATCTCTTTTTGAATATTAAGCGAGTGAGGGAGAGTGAGAAGGAAATAAATACATAAATAAAGATTTAGGATCCAATGTAAACATGTACTATACTTGTCACTTGCGGAATGAAATGAACTTCTATGAAAACAATTTAATCTATATAACTAGGATATAAATCAAATTGCTAATTTCAACTCTTGCTTTTCAGCAATCGATACGAAGTCAAAAATAACTTGATAGATTAATTCAGAGATTTTTGAAAATGATATATAGTAATAATAAATGCAGAGTTTAGCTTTGCCGACGCGTTTCNGACTTGATGGCTAATACAAGGAACTAGCTTGATATTATCATCAAATGTATTCCATCGTTCGATTTGTTTTTGAAAATGTCGTAAAGGCCAATTGATTATGATGAATATATCATCTATATATCGGAAGTAGAGACCACCACTGTTTGTAATTTGTTTGATAATATAATATTTATTGGAGTGATACAAATCCACATTTTATTATCGAAAAAGAACTTAAAGTGTCCCGAGTGATTGTTGAGGAGGAATACTGCAGATATTGGAAGGCACTATCGTACTACAGGTTAAAGAGTATTCAGCCCTTCCAACAATGATCTGGCAGCGAGACGATGCACCACCTCGTTATAGGAAAATTGCGCGAGATATATTCAGATGATACTTTTGTAGATTCGATTGGTCTTCGAGAAACTATAGAATGCCTTCCATATGATTTCTCTCTATAGAGAATTAGAAAAGAGGCGCGTTTACGCTGAAAATCCTCGCAATACCAATTATCTGAAAATGTTGATCAAGAAAGAGATTATATCGCTTGATCATAACAAGGAGTTATACCAATCAGTTTGTCATTCTGTAGTAAATCGTTGTTTCATGTGTGTTAACAGTTATTATAAAAAAAAATGTTCATTTGTTTCTGATAATTTACTCTTTCTTTGTTTGTGAGAAAGAAAAATATATTGTTTAGTTCAATCACATCTGCATAGATATGAAACTAAGATGTACCTCTATCACTGATAAGAAAAAATCAGCTTATTTGAATGACCAACAAAAGACGCATTCAATATTTTTTATCTCAGTATTGTGAGTAGTTTTAATACAGACACGTCAGAAAAAAAAAGAATAAATGATAAGCGTTTCTGACTTTTAACACACTTTTACGCGACATACGGTGGACAAACATAAGAGGATAACTGAGGATTTTTAAACTGATTTTATATTCCGGCAAATATTTGTTCTGCAACTTTTGAAGGAAGCAGAAGTATTTATTCTGTTATGATGCATACAGATCTGTCAGTTGAATTTTAAGCAAATTCTAAAGAAACGTTTTCTTTTAACGATTTCATTCTTTTAGATATTGCCAAAATTTTTGAAAGCATTTACAATGATCTTCAATAACAAAACAACTGTTTGTTATAGAATTTAGTAACATGAGAAATACATGAACTAACTATATTTATTTTGTTTATTATTTAGCCTCAATTAGATGAAAAGGAGACAGGTGAAATACACACTATTCAATCAAGTTCATTGTATGAATTTAAGCAAAATAAAATAGAAACTATAACTGATTCTTTTAGATACAAATGCATTCTTCGAAATAAACGAAAATGCATTATTTCTACTCTTTTAATTATTCTAGCTATTACTATTTGGACAGCTGCTCTTCTAACTAAGAAAGAAACTGGTAAAGAAACATCATTGGCAATATCAGATATATCAACAACAATCACAGCAATGACTACCGAAGCAGCAGTAACAACAGAATTATTAACGACTACGATATCAGCAGTAATTACTACAACAAAAGCATCAGTAACATCAATAACAATAAAAGGTAATGCTTTTTTAAAAGAGCATAATAATAGATTATTTGTAGTGACTGATAGAAGTATTTGTTACGTATATTTAAAATCATTTCTATTTGTCCCATTTTTTTTAAACCAATGTAAGAAAAGATCAGAGATGCTTAGAGTTCTGACATTTTCCTTTTCGAACCCACAATGAGAGTAATAGTTGAAGTGGGCAAGTGATGAAAAGAATGTTGAGATGGTCCTTCTTTTGCCTTTTGAATGATTGATGTTTATTCTTTTCAATAAGATTGCATGGTTTCAAATTGCCTATGAAGATTTGCAGCTTTTCGAGATTTTTATTTTCCCATTTGAAACGAGAATCATATGGAAACAAATACCTTGTGTTGAGGTCAAAGTTGACGCGAATAATATTTATATATATACAGGAATCAAAAATATGTATGAGAAAGTCCAGTAGACGATTTTGCTTGTACTAGTGGATCTGTGTCGTCAAGAAATATGTAGAAAATGATGCTCGACATATATGGTCGAATTTTGAAAAGGCAATCAAAGACAAAATTCATTTGTTCTCTATGAAAGTGAGTCGAACGTATAAGATGGAATAGACGAGTCTCTTTAGAAGATTATCTATTGATGTCGACGAGCGAACAAACGTTGATTGTAGGATCACACTTCGAACTATAGATTTGAGTGAGTTTTATTTATTTTCGACGTTTCGCACAAGAAATTCAGTTAAACTTTCACAGAAACGTCTCCAAGAGGTTTTCCATTTCCTGGAGACAAGGAAGAGAACCACAGCTGCACTGAAAAGTCACACATTCATGTGAATTATCTAAGTCTTCATTAATAAATAAATCTCCTGTGATAAGTTGATACTTCGACTAAAGTGGTCGACTATAACTAAAAAAATAATATGCAATAGAGTATAAATGTTAACGATTAGATGTTTGAAAAACAAACCTTTAAAAAGTACCCAACCATTCGATTCGTCAATGCTCATAAACATTTCTTGTTATCTGATTTTCTCTGTCAAAAAAGCAAATAGAGATAGTTTGAAACTGATGAAAGAAAACGTATAGGAGAAAGTGTTCCATATGAAGCTTGTCTCGATATGCATATGGATGGATCTACATTTATCTGATTGACTTCAGTAAACATTCATGTTATTTGTTTGACGTTGAATTATAAACCAGCCAAGGATCAAGCGAATCGATCTGGACAAGGGTTATTTCTATTAAGACTATAATCTTTTATTCAGATGTCAAATTATTGTTATTCTTCACTTTCTCCGAAAGAATATTATATTTACTAGTTTCTTCCAAAGTAAAACACATATATAATGCATTGTAATGGTCCATTAGTAATTAAAATTGTCCAAAAGAAGTCTCTAACACACAGAGAACATCATGTAGATTATCGATGCTCGTTTCGGACGAAGTTAAATTACATAGTCAGTAAAGTGATATCTTCTTATGTTAAAACCTGCAGAGCAAAGGCATCATCCGTATCGTTCGCCTCGTTATCGGACTATCAACTACATGTCTTGCATTTACCAGAAAAATAATAATATTAAGAATAAAATAGAGGACAAAAGTGTAGTGACAAAGGTCGATTCTTCTACTAGATAAGCAAATTAAGCGTAGAATTATGTAGAAATAAGCATAACACAAAGTGAAGATACTAAAATTAAAATGAATTCAACGATCACCAAAATACACCAGGGTCCGACAGGATCCCATACCCTTATTTCTTTTTAAATCTCTTTAGTTTTCGAAAAATCTCTGTGATTATTGATAAGTTATCACAAGCTTTCTTAAACTCTATTGAATTTTTGTTGAGTTCAATAAATTTTATTCGTTTTATTGCGATTTAATGAATCTAGTTCAGGATCTGCTTTTCTCCACTCGTATAGTGCTATCTAGTATTCTGAATAGTAACTAGTCAAGTTCAAGTTCGTTTTATGTAGTTTCGTTTCCAGGTAGATCCGATTTTACATCTGAACTGCGTCCAACGGTTGGTCTACGAGGCGATTTCATGGGCTATGCATATTGTCCTGCAAATACATGGGCGTATGGTTTTCAACAACGTGTCGAACCACCTCAGGGTGGAAATGATGATTCTGCTTTGAATGCAGTACGTTTATTTTGTCGAGGAAAAAATGTTGCTGACAGTTACACGATTAGTTCATATGACGGACTATGGGGCGATTGGGGCGATTCTGTCTCCTGTAACACTACAAATAATGACTTTATATATTACGCTATGTTTCGAATCGAACTTGCTTTAGGCATTAATGATTATTCATCAGCAAACGATTTTAGATCTCGATGCTGGAACGGCACTACAAATAGTAGTGGATATCTTCAAGCTGCAAATGGTGGACAGTGGGGTTTTTGGCTGCTTGGAGCTGCTTGTAAATCAGGATCAGCTATATGCGGCATTAACACTAGATTTGAGGCGTACCAAGGTCCTACTGCTGATGATACAGCAATGAATGGTGCATTTTTCGGATGCTGCTCCCTTTAACGAATCTATATGTAGTGTGGCATCGGCTTGATATAGTAAAAACAAACCGTTCAAAACTTGATTTCTCTTTCTTTTTCATTGTGCTCTTGCTATTTATTCGCAAAATAAAACAGAAGATCTTGAAAAATATGGGTTTATATGAATAAGTAGCCAGCACAGCTGTTGACTTAACTCGTACGAATGACGAAATATTGGGGAAAATAATCTTTCAAAATGCTCACAAGTAAATATACAGTTTATCAAAGTTATACATTTAAACATAAGATTTGATTCGAATTTACATGACTTGTTAGGTATGATCTTTTCATCTATAATGCAGTTTTGCATAACTAATGTCTGTAAATTTGGTAACTTTTGTAAAACCAGATATTTTTTACGGTCAGAACCATGCATTGATGAACTCCGTAGTATACGATCTTTCATGAGATATGTATTATTAACAGAGAATGCTCGAAGATTCCATTGAATAAGTGCATCGGAAATAGTAGGCCATATTTGATTAAATTTATGAGTGTTCAATTCGATTGAGAGGGAAACGAAAGAATTAGTATTTAAACTTCTTAAAAGATACTTCAATTGTTCATCTCGTGCTCTTTCGATAGTTAACAAACGAAGTCGAGTAAATTTTAAACTATCGGGTAACAAAAGAGGTAATTTTTCCTCTGGTCGAATATTATTGGTAATCGTAAGTGAAGTCACTTGTTCTAGTTTAATCGTATGAGAAATGTCTTCCAAATTATTCATTGAATTTATATCAATTATCAATGGAATTCTATCGTAATTGTTATCAATGTCATTCAATGTTTTGCAAACACAACGAATATTTAAGAGAATCGTTTTAGTATCACAATAATCCAAAATATGGTGAATAATTTCCGTTGGTAGATTTATAAGAGAGATTTGTTCCATTCTATAATGATAAAGTAAAATTTTATTCATGATTTCTATGTCATATCATATAAAATTATATCAAAATAAGAAATAAAGAACTATGCAAATTTATTATGAATCGTATGTGTAATAAAAATCTCCCTAAGTCACGAATCGTGTTGCTGAAATAACGAAATAGAAAAGAAAATATGAAGAACGAACAAAAATCAACATGTTTTATAGTGTGTCATGTGGGAACGATTTTTTTCTTCTTTCCATTCTATTGTTCCCATCCCCTAAACCTAAATGAGAATAGGAAAAAAATCGTTCCCACAGGACACTAGTTTCATAGTCACAAACAAAAATGTATTTATGAGATTCCTTTTGCAAATAAATCTTTCGTTAAAACGAGAACATACACAACCAAAACTAATTAAATAAGTGAAATGAAAATCTAAGAATTAGTTGAGTTTTCTCCACGTAATATAACTTTATATTATATGAATGAATCGGCCCCGTTGTTAATAAATAATAGATAAAAGAATAGTTTTTATATTATTCTTTTATTTCTTATCTTATGACAAGTATCAGAATTTGATCAAATAAATGCATCAACAATACACACTAAAACACTTTTTTGATTGCTTAGTTTGAAGATCGATTTCTATCTATAAGACTTTTTCGACTGCGTACCAGTTCGTCGAAAAAAATTTTGTCAGAAGATTTTTTCAACTTCACCCTAGCTTTTGCAGCGTATTCTGAGATGAGAAATGTTTTTCGATGAAGTGCATATACACCGACTTTTTCATCTATTGACATGAAGAATGATGAACGATTGAAATTTAAAAGAAGTTGACTATTTATATTACTCTTAACATATTTGAGCGGTATTGAAAACTTTAAACGCAATTGAACACATGTATACTCTGTGTTTCATATTCAAATAGGATCAATTGATTCTGATTTCAAACAAGAATGAATTGAAATAATATATATCATCAAAATAAAGTTTTTTTAATCTTAACTGATATTATTGAAAATAAATGCGGAAACTTCGGAGTTATCCGAAAGCTATGTGTACTGCAAAAAGTGTACCAGATGGAGCACATAAGAAGTAATACGGAAATAGCTATAGTTTTCCAGTAACTCAGAAATCACTCGTCCAAATCTGAGTTAGTCTCGACAATGCTTTATAGAAAGCTTTTTTCCATTTAATTCATTTATGGGATACCCTTTGGTAATTCGTACTGTAGATTCTGTAGTATAGATCAATTTCAATTTGGTGGTCATTAGCTTAGCTAAACTTGTAGCATCTGAAGTTTTACTACAAGTACAGTTTGGATTGCTGAATAAACTCGATATCGAAGGAGCAAAATAAGATCTCTCCTATGGGGTAAATCCTCACACAGTCAATCCAGATCTCTTTTCTATCTGAGTTTTTCTCTACAACTGTAGTCACTCTTCTATGTGTTATGATATCACATGACATCATTCTGTCTACCTGTCATAAATCTGTCTATCCTTTCCTTCAGTGTGTTGTCTAGTCTGGTCTGGTCATCTGATCTTCTCATCTCTCGTTTTCTGTGGTCGTTCACGTTCTCGTAGTGCTAGAAAAACATCCGATGGTCGACAGCCTCACACCAGATCGATCTTTCTTTTCTCCTCCTAACAGCCTTTAAAATGAACAAATCATAAGTTTGAACTTTTCCTGTAAGGATACTTAAGACTAAATATATTTTCATGCATACACTTATATATACTTTGACGGCGCACTTATTTTTCGATCATCATATTCTCTTATGTACATTATTAACTAACCACTTTGAACGTTTGCCGTGATAATCATATTATACAGGAAGTATGAGATAGTGTCAGTGTAGCACTACGGAAACGCGGACTATCTATTTTCAGCTCATTAGCATAGTCAATATTTTTGTTGAGCGACATCGGTTATTGAATCATGAATTCGACGATCATCTTTCCAAGACTCTCCTCCATTTGAAAATCGACGAATCCTATAGTTACTGTGCTATATGANTAGAAGATTAGTTTTTATATTATTCTTTTATTTCTTATCTTATGACAAATATCAGAATTTGATCTAATAAATGCATCAACAATACACACTAAAACACTTTTTTGATTGCTTAGTTTGAAGATTGATTTCTATCTATAAGACTTCTTCGATTGCGTACCACTTCGCCGAAAAAAATTTTGTCAAAAGATTTTTTCAACTTCACCCTCGCTTTTGCAGCGTATTCTGAGATGAGAAATGTTTTTCGATGAAGTGCATATACACCGACTTTTTCATCTATTGACATGAAGAATGATGAACGATTGAAATTTAAAAGAAGTTGACTACTTATATTACTAGATTTCTTATATACGTTCGAAATAATTTGGTAGAAATTAAATAATTACAATTTTAGGAATGAATTGCATTCAAATCTAGTTCTTAACATATTTGAGCGGTATTGAAAACTTTAAACGCAATTGAACACATGTATACTCTGTGTTTCATATTCAAATAGGATCAATTGATTCTGATATCAAACAAGAATGAATTGAAATAACATATATCATCAAAGTAAAGTTTTTTTTAATCTTAACTGATATTATTCAAAAAAAAGAAACAATAAATTTAATTGATAATTGAACACTTTTTCAAAGAAAAAGTTTTCATTAAAAAAGAACGTTTGTAAAAAATCATTATTATAGAGAAAATTTTATAGAAATCTCCAGAATTTCTTTTAACTTTCCTTTTTTTTAAAGTACTTCTCGAGAAATAATCCTTGTAGTTTTCGAAACCGAAGAAACTACAATTCATGCTAAACATTTATTTTACGACAATAACAAAGTTTTTTGTATGAAGAAAAATATCAGAATTCTATTCCTACCGATTGTGATTGATACTGAGACGCACATATATTTTTCCTATTTGAGAAATATTTTGTTTGATTTAAGATCTACAGTAGACTTAGAACCAGCTAAACATCAATTCATTTTATCTTTTGTTTGCTGTGATTTTTCTTCATTCTGTATTTTTTTTTGTGTAATATAATCGAAATAGTCGCTTGATATTATAAAACTGATTCAAAAATACTATCGATTGATAATTTTCAGAATCAAAGTTGTTTGCCATTATTAAGCATTCAACATGGGTGTTATCTGCAGTAGACAAAGTGCAGTTGTCGCTCCATTATCTCTTGATCATACAGCGACTGCTATTCCTGAATCAAATTCAAAAAGAGATAACAAAGTTAAGATTATTTGGTTAGGATCACAAAATATTTCTTGTTTGACTGAATTACGTCGAATATATAATCAAGTATATGCTTTTGATAATCTTCAGAATAGTATTGAAAGCATCAAGGTATTATCAGCTGATGACAGTAAAATCTTTTGCATTGTTGATGGTGATTCTTACAAGAACAAGAAGTCGAATACCACCATTAAAAAACTTACCTCACTTAACTCTGTCCTGGCTCTTTATATTTATGATGAAAATAAGAATATTCTTGAAAATTATTCTGGGGTTCGTACGCTGCCAAACATGGATCATCTCATTCAACAAATCGTCATGACTATGGATTATTTGGGCGTTCTACCTTCTATCAATAAATCTATCGCAACAACAATAATTCTGGATGGAGAAAATATTCGTTTAGAAGTACATCAGAATGCTATTAACTTATTGGTGAATATAGAAAATGAGGTGAAATGTATGCTCGACAACACGCAAGTTGACAATAAATATCAGAGAGAATTAGTCGATTGGAAAGTTGAATTCATTATTTCAAGTACAGTATTCAATCACTCTTATTGCCACATAACTACACTGGAATATATAACGCGCTCTTCTTTGAATTTTATCGGCATCATAAAAGAAAAAAAAATAAAAGAAGCAAGAGAGAGAAAACAAGAGATGACGACATGACAGAAGAGAAGAACCGACAAAACAATAAAAGAGACGATTGGCAAAGACGAGAATGAAGGCTAGATTCAATGCATTCATCTGAGCTTGGTTGCTCGACAAACAAAAAAGTTTTTTGTATTCTGTACTGACGAACAGATGAATGTTTTGTTGTCGTAGACGGTGGGGAAAATAAGAGGAGATTGGTATTTTCATTTTTACGAATAATATAAATACATGAAAAAATGAAAACTAAAACAATATTTACACACTGCCAACTGTAAACGTTAACTCACACTTTAAAGCATTGCCTCAAATAACTCTTAAACATTTATCGGTAGAAATCAAATAGTTGTGTTAGATAAAGTTCGAAACATGGTAAGTATTTGTCATCTGTAAATGAGCTCAAATTAAATGCTTTGAAATATTTTTAGATGGATACATCCTTTGATAGGCAAATTGCTCTCTTGAAACCACGTACACGAAAACATTTCAATCTTTCGGAGAATCGTCCAGAAGAAATTCTGAGTATTTCAATGGTTGATGAAAGTAAAGACATATTGCATTGGCAAGCTGAAATACGAGGTCCGATGAATACACCATATGAAAATGGCGTTTTCAAACTTGATTTACGTTTTTGTGAAGACTGTCCGTTCAAACCACCATCTGTTAGATTTAAAACAAAAGTATTCCATCCAAATATAAGCTCCAATGGTGAAATTTGTTTGGATATTCTTCGTGACCAGTGGACGCCATCTTTAACTCTGGAAGTGGTTTTAATATCCATTATTTCACTATTATCGGATCCAAACGCTGACGACTTCATCGTACCAGAGGCTGCCTTTTTATATAGAGAAAATCGAAAAGATTACGACATAAAAGCAAGAGAATGGGTCATACGATATGCTATGACAGAGAGCTCGTTTACTGAAACACGGCAAAGTCCAGATGCGGTGAGTTTAATGTATGACGTTCGGGTTTTATAGTTTTCAGACAATTGTATCGAGTAACAAAAAGTCTTTTCTTTTTAAATTGTACTAATTGTTGTATAAAATATGCTTTGAAAACTATCTCAAATAATGTTTTAGACTTATTTCAACTTAAACCACGATAACGACACAGTGACTGAAGTGAAATTATTATTCGATAAAGTTAATGAGAATAACGCTCTCGAAAGTCAAACAAGTAAACGTTATCGTCCTGAACGATTTAATTCTTTTGAACCATTATGTTCGAAAACATTTGAAATGGGAGAATCAAAAGAGTCTCTATCAATTATTGATCGGTGCTTTTCGCTTGGAAATCACCCTTTGCAAACAAACAGGTAAATATAAATTTTGTTTGTACTATCTGCTTTAGTTTTCTATTCTCTTTCTCAGACCCTGGAACGATGATTTTTATTCTATCGTGAAAAAATGGGATTTTAACTATGAAGTTAGTTTAGCCATCAAGAGATTACATATAAATGCATTTAAACAACAAAACGAAGACAAATATAAAAAATTAGTCGAGACATTATTACCTGAATTATTAAAAAGAGAAGAATTTGAACTTCAGAATAAAGAGCAATCTGAAAGATTGTTCGATATTCTCTGGTCCATTGTGTTACACAAGAAAGAATTAAAACTTTGTACTGAAAGTGGATCAAAAGAACTGTGCGAAGCCCCTGATATGCAAGTATCAGAAATTAATGAGTTTGACTCAGAAGGTTTTTCTAAATGGAGAAGTAAAATATTGCTAGATGTGTTGCCACTTATGGCGAACGACGGTAAAGCATTTAAACGCGAAAAAGACGAAGAATACAAAAAATTAGTAGCTAATTATATGCAAATTAAGACAGGACGTAGAATGAACACGTTCAGCAGGAGAGACTTTCTGACGGTCGGTGTAAAATCGGAAGTGACATTATCGCCAAACAACGAATTTTGGACGAAGAATGAATATAAAGAACTGATTTATAAATTATCGTGGGCTCAGCAAATGTTAGAAGGAGATGAACTCGAAAAGAAACTGAAATACCAAATGTTGGTTACTGAATTATTGGATATCATATACCCAATAACAACAATACAACCTTGGACTAAAGAAACGTACAATCAATTCGTCGATACAATATTACCCAAGCTATTGGAGACAGAAGGATTCATATACTGGCAAGAAAAATGTGAAAAAATGGTTGATACATTAACTCAAACCTTAGAGATGGAAGGAATTAATGTAATTCTAGAGAAACAAGATTATTCAAAGCTAGTTTCTGAATTAAGGAAACTCATATCCAAAACTCCGGAAGAAATTGGTAAAGGATGTGTACATATTTATACAGAGAACGGCGCTTTCTGTTCCCAATTAAATCATTTTTTACGCGAACCAAATGAAACAATGATCGAAGAGTTCGCATCATTTATTTGTCTACTCTACTGTTGTTTTGATCATGCATCATCAATTGAAATTCACAGTACTAACGTTTATCGTGGAATGACTTTATCACCGTCTATGATAGAAGATTATAAAACAGCTGCCGAACACGGAGGTTCATATCGATGGGCTGCTTTTAGTTCCACAAGCAAGAACCCAATTGTAGCTGATTGGTTTGGTAATAATACGCTTTTTATTATGCATTTAAGAAAGGTATACCAAAAACGAAAGAAAGCTATTGATATCAGTCATTGGTCACAATTCCCTGACGAAGAAGAAGTACTATTGAAACCCGGTGTTGAATACACAGTCGTAAAAGTTGAATGTAATGAGGAAAACAAGAAGCATTATATTTACCTTAATGTTTATGTTTAATGATTTTCGTACTAATTTGTAGCAAGTGGTTAATTCTCTTCAATTTTTTGTATCTTATTCTTGAATTTACCTAATAAACAAACATTTATGTGATAAAAATCAACATGTATTGAAATTTTGAGCATGTCAGAGTGTACATGAAATTATTAAACTTATCAGAACTCAATTGAAGGTCAAAGATAAAGTTTCGAAAGAACTAAATAATTTATATTTCAATCATCTGCTTGAAATCGATGACGACGATGAAGAATATTTCACATTTGTACTATATCCATACATTCATCTATTAGTACGAATGATATCTAAATATTATACTTAATGATTTTAAAATTAAGTTCTATTTTATGCATATGATTGAGCATTATTGAAAATTATTCTTGTTTATCATATCTAAATCCTTCGTAGGTTCATTTTACTTAACTTCATTATCAGTTCAATTCGAAATCTGGAATATCATTAAAAATACACAGAAATTAATGAAAAATGATAGATTTTTTTCCCAACATCTTCACTAAATCTCGCACATCTTTTTTACTAATTTTTGTCACAGTCTCTCTGATATGCGCTGTATGCGTGATACGATTTCCTCATCTAATAGATTATTCTTATTATGTACTTTGATATGATATTTTCTTGCGTTCTATTCTGCGTGGATGAGTATGTAAACGTGTATCTTGTAGCAGAACGATGCGATTGACGAGGAAGAAATAAATAAGCGTAGTTTCATCAGAGCATACATCTCTGCCATCAAAATTGTCACACTAACTTAAACAAGTTAGACGATACGTCAAATATCTGATTCACAGTGAGAATGAATGGTAATCGTTGTACTTTTATTTGATTTTGAATAATCGATGTATTTCTTTATTGATTGCGGAAAAAAATAGTGAAATTTAGTGGCTATTTTTGGCAGTGTCCTTTGGAATTCGACGCATTGCACACCTCTCGTACGAATATTAATATAGATATTAATTATTAAACTCACGTTTGCTCGTCTATTGTATCACTTCTACCGATGATGTTAAACTGTATTTCAATTGATAGAATTCATATTGACTCCAAAGAATAGAAACTAAAGAAATATCCGAAAACCAAAGAATCAATAGAAATACACATTTCTTAGATGATATTTTTGTTTTATATATTACGAATAAAATCTTTTAATTATTATCATTTAAATTTACGTATTTCTTGATCTTCCGTCAGTGTTTCAATGAGAGAGAGAGAGAGTATAATTAATGATAAACTTTGTATAGATTGATTTTTACATATTTTCACGCTTTCGATTCAAACGTTCTAAAAAAACCTGAACCATTCATATATCCATCATGACGGAAGCTAAATACACATTCTATATACTGCGCGATACTTCTCATATTTTTTTGTTGTCTTAAGAATGATTATATTGTGTAAAAAATTTTCAAAAACGGAGATAGTTGAATTTAGCAGTTTTTATAATAGACATCGTGAATAATTCTGTCAAAAAATGATAATCAACTGACAGAAAAAAATAAGTAAAAAAAAAGTAGTTTCGGCAATGTCAAGAAATATGTTGCATGATAAGTGAATCATTATCAATTAACGTCAAATGTTCTGTGTAGGAATTCTATTTTCACTACATAGTTATTTTCTCTTTTCAATTCATAAGTAGAATACAATTAATAAATACTGGGTAGTTTTTGAACAGGTTTTAGTTCTGTATGGTTAGGAGTAACTTTATTGATTTGAATTGGTCGAACTTGATTCAATTGAGTTATCCTATGACCAGTTAATTTAGCGTATATGATTGCTTTCACCTGTTCATTAGTAAAAAAAAGTGCAACCGATTCTAGTGCTGCTGCTACCGACATTGTTAACAATGTGATCGGATTTAATTGCCACGGAACTATAGTACGACGTGATGCTGCAGCTTCAATTTCACGAGCATCTTGAGGGTATTGATGGAGTCTTATGCGAGGAAATCAAGAAAGATCTGTTACCGTAGTCTTTATTCAGTGTTGCCGCACTCTTTGATATTCTTTGGTTGATATATATTCATGTTGTATGTTCTAGATTAAATTGTATAGTTCCTGATATCCTCTTCGATGACTGACCACAACGATGTTAACGACAGGAATAGCTGGTCATATCCAGATTTACAATCACAACTATCTGAACAACCGAGGACATTTGTCTATCAAACACAACCATTTACGATAAGCGAACAATTGGCAGAGAAAAAGAAGAAAGAAAAGAAAAGTCATGGTAATCGAAAGCTGCAACACTTCAAACGCAAGTGTCGAGCCCGTGGTTTAACTGAAGAACAAATTCAGGGTTTAANGATGTTGACTGTGTCCGATGTAACCCAATTTCTTCTTTTTTTTGCACCGATTTTCCAACCAACTTTGTTGTTGTTTCTTGTATGCTTGTCACAAGGTTGTCGTATCTCGTTTGTATGTCCTCGTCAGTGTTGTCGTTGTTCAAAATCTCGAAACGATTTTGCACTTCTATGTTAAATTGTGATTGTAGTTTGGAGTTATTTTTTAGTTTGTTCCAGTCAAACTTGATTCTCTTGTTTTTGTTTTCTTTCGTTGCTCGCACGCTGATCGATAGTTGCGCACTAACAATTCGATGATCAGAGTTCAATTCGACTGTGTTGTATGCACGAACATTTCGGATTGAATTCAACCATTTTCCATTGATAAGGATATGATCAAGTTGAGCTTTGGATTTGCCATTTGGATGTAGCCAGGCCCATGATCTTGATTGTGGCTGCGGAAAGCGAGTTTGTGTTGAACGCATGTTACAGGCTTCGCAATAATTGGCGAGTCCGTTGCCGTTGTCGTCGGTCGAATGATGGTATGTGTATTTGCCAATTGTTCGTGGATTTGTTGTGTGGCTATCAGATCCCAATCTTGCGTTGAGATCTCCAGCGAGTATCAGGACGTTATGTGATGGAACGTCATGTGTATACCTTTGCAGGTCGTCGTAGAACATGTCTTTCTCCACGTCGCTTTTGTCTTCTGTAGCTGCGTAGGTAATGATGATGGTTATTGCTGGGTTACCCATAAAATGCACTGCCATTATGCGGTTAGATATCTTTTCTGAAGAGCTGAAGAATGCTGACATTCTAGGATTCATCAGTAATCCAATGCTCCGTGACCTTCTGGTGTTGCAGAGCAATATTCGAAGCGTCATGTTTCGTCGTTCAGTGTTTGATATGCTGTGTTTGTTTGTTCTGAGGTTTGCCAACGATGTTCTTGAACCGCTACCAAATCGATGTTGTTTTTGTTGCATCCATATATAAGTTGATGAAGTTTTCCTGTTTGTTTGAGTGTGCGTACATTGTAGGTAGATATAGCGATGGTCTTGTGTAAAATCTTTTTTTGGTTTTTAAGGTTTTTTGGTTTTAAACGACGCGTCGCTGCTTTTTCAAAGACAGGAGACTGCCTTATCATAAGTTCCGATTCGCGTGGAATCTTCTCTAGCTGACGACGAGACGAAAGACTGTTGCCCGGAATGGGTTCTTCAATTGTTGTTTTCGGAGTCGTTGAGAAGCACGCTTCGAGTGACTAGCCCTGAAGCGCTTACCAGAGCCCATCTTAGCCGTCGAGAACGACGTTTCGATCCAACACTGCGAGGAAGTGATGGGTTGGGTTTTGTCGGATACATGTATGTATAACGTCTTTTAAAGCTTCGAGAAGAAACTATGTAGATCATCGACTTATTCAACTAAGAATGATAATAAAAGATATACTGTAGGTCACGAAGTTGTGAAGAATTTCGGCAACTTTGCTAGAAACGGACTCAACAAGAACAAGGTACTTTATAATATGAAAACATCATTAGACATTTATTAGGTACCGACGGCTAGCGGTCAGTGGTCGACCGGAGAGAGGCTGACAAACGACTAGGCATTATAATTTCAGAAGATTTCAGGAAGCGAAATTGGTCTACGTAAAACATTCTGACAAATTATCAAACGATCAGATCGCTCAACTGAAATAACTTTTTTCTCTCTTTGGACGAATGTTAGCACTCTAATGCTATCCTTTCAGTAGAGGATTTAGCGGCTACTAGGCCGCGTTACTTGTAGTATTTATGAAGAGCTATCTATATACTTATATTTCGGCTATATATGTTCCTTGAACTATAATAATTAGACAGTATTATAGACTGTTTTGCTAGAATAAAGCTTTGTGTTCACTGCTAGAGTAAATCATGTAGTAAAAAGCATTTAATTGTTGACAGTTTATCTAGGTTAGATGTATCAATAAATATCAGACGGATTGACCAGCACAGTTAGATGTCGACATCTTCAAGATATAGATAACTACTAGATAGACGACCAGAGAAAAAGCATATTCTTCTTATCCAATATTTGATCGTGGTGCCACTGAATCATCTTTATAACATTCTCGATATTATTTCTCTATTTCTGTTCGGTATTACTTTGAGACATTCTCATCAAAACTAACGGGTGGCCCATAAAGAATGACTCTCCCAGTATTTTGCATCTATCTCACCTATAATTCAAGTTAGAAAAAATTATTTTTTTTATAGAAAGATTCCTCATCAAATTCTCTACAAGAGTAGATATTTTTATTATTTTAAATATCTTCCATTATTTTGTGACATGCGATACAATCGATTGGTCCAACAAGCACAACTTTCAAACACAGCTTCTTTTCGAATTTTTTTTACCGCACGTTTTAGTTCTTGAATCATGGTTGGTTTAGATGTCACTTTATTCCAGTCGATAACTTTCACAAATTCATCCCAAATATAGTAGTCCAATGGATTAAGATTGGGACTATTTGGTGGCCAATGGTCTTTATCGATAAATCCTGGAAAATTGCTATGACACCATTGTTGTGTTATCCGATGAGTATGTGGTCTAGCACCATCTTGTTGGAATGTCCAGTCATTTCCAAAGACGTGATTTCCATATTTTAATGCCACAGAAAGCACCTCTTTAATGTACCGATCACGGTCGACTGTACGCTGTTCAAATATCACCAATGGAGATAAAGCTTTTGAACAAACACCATGCTAAACCATGAGTTTCACAGGAAATTTTTTCTTCTCATGAATACCACCTTTTTCATTGGCTTCATATCGATTTACAGCCCAGACACGGTCGTCTTGGTGTTGTAGACACCATCAATGTCGAACATCTTTTCATCAGAAAACAAATTTTCAATGTTTCCTGCTTTTGAAAATTGGTTGCTATCCACTTAGAAAACATTTTCCTTTTTTCTTTGTGTTGCTCAGTAAGTGCCAGTTCGACCAAATATTTCTACCGTCGACAGCCAAGATCATCCCAAAGAGTACGTTGTGCACTTTTTCGAGATACTTCTAATTCAACTGCAAGTTTTCTACTTGATACTTTACCTTTTTGTAGCTTCTTTTTGGCCTTGTTAATAGCACCTTTTGTTCGTGCTGTACGTGCACGACCTGGTGAATATCTTAAATTGATAGAACAGTCTCCTTAATCATTCCACACCATCTTTTGATAGTTTCCAAACTAAGTATTCCATTCAAATCATGAAAGATCTTTGGCGGGTAATCACCATTTTGATGTTGCAAAAGTACCAGGTTCTCTATATCTTCGCTTTTCATTTTAGAGAAAATTGAACTTCTTCCAAAACATGTTGAAAAATAAAAATGGCGGTTAAGAGAGGCTATTTGACAGGAGGGACCAAACTGTCCGGAGATGGTTCTGGGATTTCGCCGTTTGATATCACGTTTGAGAGGTCATGTTATGTATATACAAAAGCCAAAATATCAGGCTCGCATGTGCTACTAACAGCGGAGATATCGAGGTCCCAAGTTTAGGACCCTAAAATCACTTTTCAAATTTTGTGCTTTTTCATGACTTTCTTGCTTGACCAATATCTCCGCCAAAGATCAATCAAACATATAAGTATCTTATACCATTCGATAGCGCAGAATCTGCTCTACAAAAACATCTAAAGGACCATAGTTCAATAAGTGACTTATGAGATTGAAATGACTGAAATACGAAAATGCGTGACCATTTTTTATTTTTCACTTTTTATGTATTTCAGCCAAAAGTTTACTACTACTCAGGTGCCCCACAAAAACGAAGATAGATCCTGAAAGTTCGTGAAAAACTGCATCTTCTAGTATAAGAACATAAGGGAAAAAACGCGGGATAGTTATAAAAGTTTTCAAAACAAATCTGCCCGCTACCCGTCTTTTTCACCAGGATGAACGCTGAATTCGTATTTTTCTAGTAGTATTCCTTTCAATTTCTGTAGGACAAAGAAGGTATTCAAGCGCGATTAGATAGTATATTTTCACTATACAGCACTGCTCAAATCGGGCACACTTACTCTGTACTGAATGGGTACTCTTCGGGTCTTCGAGTACCACGCTAGCAAGATACGCTTGCATATCAAAGTTCTATGAGAGAAAACTACCCTAGACTCTCGAGCGGCATGCCAGAGATACTCTGAAGCATCATTTTTTTCCTTAGAGAAACCGCTTTGGACCCTCATGTGCGATCATATGGAGTGCCCCTTGGGTCCTCGAGTCCTATAGTGCAAGGATGCACTTGAGTTATCAAATACCATGAGACAACGATACGCCAGATCTATAAGTGTTGTAGCATGATATCTTTGATCCTCAAGTCGTGCCCTTAAGGGATATTCTTAGGTTCTGATATGGTAAAAGGAAGAAACATGAGATTCAACATTACAAGGTCAGAGAATTATATGATGTAGGATCCGCTTATGTGATACAATGACTACACCGTCAGAGCTTAGAGTTTATTTGTAGTTGTAGATCGATGAAGTTGTCTTCTTTCACTGTTTCACTGTAGAATGAAAGAAAGTAAACACGTCTCTAAAATTATATGATGGGATATATTATTTGTTCCATGCTTTGTAGCTGTTGAATCAAAATATACTGTTCAGCTTTGTCGTGCGATTCAGTTGCTAAGAGCAAAGTGGTGTACTGTGCTGCATTTGAGGACTACACAGTATTAACACAAGATAGCGATCTGCACTGAACCCCATGCTCCAGTCCAAACAGCAACTCCCTTGTGATTAGAATCGAGAAATAACAAACATTGGAGTTGGAACGAATCCCTAGGAATTATTCTGGATCAGTATTGAAGTTAAATCAACTAGCTAATTTTACACGATCTAGGTGATAGATGACGTTAGTTCCTCTAAAATACTAGAGAGAAGGGTGAAACTGTATGTTAGTAAACGTTATAGAGCTTTGATTCATACACCAATTAAATTTTTAGCCATATGTTCTAAGTTTCGCAGACATCATATTTGTACTAAACTATCAATAAGAACTAATTGGAGCTTGTTGGAGTTGGCCATGGAGTAAAAAACACTGGCGTTGCAGATCACTAGTGCAAGGGAGTATAGAAAATGATCAAAGAAATAGCTGTCTCCCTTATAGAGACTCTCAATAGTAGATGATTCGTTCGGGAGAATACTTTATGAAGGTTCTGTGGCGCTGCACATTCTATCGCAATAAAAAAAGAATGGGCCCAGCTGTCATTCTCAGGAAGTTCATAAGTAGTTTTTGTATATTTTTCCCTAAGAATTCCACAATTTAATACTACTTGTCTACCTACATTATCATACTCGTTGCGCAGCTGCAAACGAAGAAATCATAAGCGACAAGTCGGATTCCAATGCAATTCCGTTTCCCGGAATCCGATCGGATCCAGCATCGGATTTGCTGACCTGGGTTGTTCTGCTCAAGCATCTTCAAAACGTTCTTCATGAACTTGAAAGTGAACAAGAGCTTTTCGAAAATTTATTGAGATCATATCCTCAAAGATTAAGAGCTGTACGTGAAGCCAATGGTGGTCACACGAAATATTGATATATTAGGTTTATTCAGATTTAATAAAGATTCCAGTTAATATTTCATTTACAATTGTTTTGCCTTCACTTAATGCTATACTTGTCTTGTAAAAATAGAAACGGTCATAATTACTAAATGAATTCCTAACTACATCCCTAGATCCATTTTTTCACGGGCTTTCATTTGGTATAAAGCTCATAGAGTATCGAAGTTGAAAAGACAACGTTACCTCCCCCCTCCTAGCAAAAGGTTATGCAAAACCCTGTATACCTCTAATATGGTCTTTATATAGATATAAGTTTCCTATACATTCTCATCCTACCCAACTCAATTCACATACATAAGTATACTATGTATATTTACTTTGTAGGAAATTCAAATGAATTTCCCGGAAAGTCATTTTATAAGTATTTTATTTCAATTTCCTGGAAACTGGACATCACCATCACATTGAATTTCTTTATGTTTGTGACCATGAGAAGATTGAAAACTTGTTGCTTCGTGAATATAATCGTAGTCAATTGATCGACTTCCAAAGACTTGATTTAATCCGTGAATAAAATCAAGTCAATAGAAAAAGAAATTTTTTAGCTTTGAAATAAAGGTTGAGAATTAATCTAACTAGTATACACAAAACAACATTTAAAGAGGAAGTGAAAAATAAAGCGGTAAAAAGTCATTTTCCGAGAAACTCTAATGAAAAATTAGCAGAAGCAGTCTATTGTATTGTTTGATTTCTTTTTATTTGAAAACAATTCTTTTTTTCTCGTCACATTTGCGACTTGGTAGCTAACAACTAAGCTGCATCGTTTATCACTGAACTTTTGGATCTCCCTCTGATTTGAATTATGTTTACCTAAAAGAATGACATTTCTCTACACTAGTACATGGCTGTTGACTGGAATCCTATTGCACTTCAGTGCAGGTAACGTATTTCTTAGTCACATCAGTTGGACAAAACAGAAAGGTTTTCAAGGTTAGTCATTGATTTAGATGTAAATTATGATCCCCTCCGTATGAGCTCTTGATAGCAAAGTCTCTGTTAAACTAGATAATATTTCGAGTTAGTTTACACAATTCAAAGCTATGCGTCTATACATGTCAATCATTCATGTGGCACAAGGCATATTTTCTGATAATCGTAAAACAACGGTTAAAATCAATAAAAATGTCTTTTGTTCAATAGGCATATCATTCAATCAGCCGAAGTTTTCTCCATGTGCATACTGGAATCAAAATGGAACGTTTTTCGCTAATGCCAGCTCAAGGCCGTTTGGTTTATTCGTCAATGTGAACAACAGTGTTTATGCCTCTGAACAAGACACCAACCGTTTTCAGGTATGGTCCAGTTTAGGTGGCACTCCAATTAGAACAGCATCTGCTGCCCTATCCAATCCGGCTGGTATCTTTGTTCACAGCAATGGTAATATTTATATTGACAAAGGTGATCTTGGTACGGTTGCCAAGTGGACTCCCAACTCAACTAGCAGCATCGACGTGATGAATGTCGATGCGCAGTGCATGGGAATTTTTGTTGACATCAACAATATTCTCTATTGTAGCGCTAGCGACAGCCACAAAGTATTTAAACGAGCACTGAATTCAAGTACAATAAATGCTACTATTGCTGCAGGCAATGGTACTTGTTCATCGCAAACAAATACGATTTGTTATCCCCATGGAGTTTTTGTTGACAATAATTTCACTTTATATATAGCTGAATACGGGCAAGATAGGATAAGCCGCTTTAGGAAGGGTGAGCTGAATGGAACTGCTCTCGTTGGAAGCACGGTACCAGGAACATTTCATTTATCTTCTCCGATGGGTGTTGTGCTTGATGGGGATGGATATCTCTTCATTGTCGATCAAGGAAATGATAGAATTGTTGGATCAGGACCACTTGGATTTCAATGTATAGTCGGATGCTCTGGTAGCAGTGGCTCAGCACTCAATCAGTTGCAGGGTCCACGGTCACTGGCTTTCGATACCTATGGAAATTTATATGTGAGCGATCGAGAAAATGACCGCATCATGAAATACACTTTGTTTAACAGCTCATGTGGTATGCTTTCATTGATATCTCCTTGAATGACAGTCCGCTAATGATTATCAATACAGACAACAGTGACAGTAAAGTTTGTTTTTAACATGTCTGGTCAATCTGATAAAAGAGTTCGTTAGTATAGATCATATAACGTGTTTTTATTGCTGATCTTTACTAAATAATTGGATTCAGCACGAAAGTACTTTTTGTATCATGCCATATGGAATAGCTTCGAAAGGATCAGCATATAAAACGAACTATGACTACTCACAAAGGTTTTCCTAATAAGTATTAGATTTTCCTATTGAGCAATCGATCCTTCTTTGTTACAAGTAAAAGATCTTTGCTTGTAACTAATCATAACAGTCTGTAAAATTTCTTCTACTCATCAACTTCCTTTGCAGCTTTAAATTGTATCTAAAATAAAAGCAACATTTATTAGTTGTCCGTGGCTTGATTTGATTGAGCTAAAAAACTAGACCAATTTGATCTTGTTTAGTTTACACTACCACTACATCAACCACATCACCAACAAAAACGAAATCAACATCAACAACGTCAACACCGTCAGCAGCGTCAACGACATTAACATCAACCACATCAACAACAGAAACGACAGCAACAACGTCAACACCGTCAGCAGCAACCACGTTAAGAAGGAAAACGACATCAGCATCGTCAACAACAAGTTCCACAGCAACGTCAATAACATCATCAGTGTTGATGACTGTTTTCCTTCCTCTTTCTTTTGTCTTTCTGTTTCTGTCTATGCGCATGATTTGATGCAGTGGCGACTATTACGCATATATGTTTAGTACATATATATAGGTCGTTGTTCTCTGTGATCAGATGGACACTCTCTTCCTCTTCGCGTTTTCGTCATTACCTTCTTGTTTTTTCTCTCTCTCTCTCGCTGTGTTGTGATCATTCTTGATTCAATAAAGACAAGTAACGCTCGCTGAGGCACACTCGCTTAGCCCTCGACTGATTCTCATTTTACTTCACTGTTTTCATAAAAATCTTACAAAAGATGTATCAAGTCATGCATCTCGCAGTCGGTCATCGTTGTCTCTCCGGTCCGCCACTCCCGACCGCTTGATATTGTGCATAGCATGTACAGCCTTCTCAAATGGTACGACTCTTTCTCGCCGACACTTCGCGAACAACTTAACTCCCTCAACAAAATTATCTAATATATTCAATCCCTGATTCATAAATCCAAGATATCCAATTTGTCAGCTTTACTGTGCGCGATGTTTGATTCAAGATTTTTACAATCCAGAATAGCTGTCGGCCAGTTGGATTAATCTCCGAATGCTATTCACGAAGTTTCTGCAAATATTGATCTTGAATCTTGATATAAATACACATCATTCAAACTATTTTTTGTCTCATATGACTTTCCCTTCGGACAAGGAAACATAATTAGTCCTCTTACATGAGTTTGTTTCCAAACTACAAACGATGATTGGTTTTTAATTTTCGTCTAACTCCTCCCAAACGATGTTTTATGAAGTTTTGAGCGTTTTCTAAAAAATGTTTTTCTTGAATTTTGACCTTTGACCCTGACACAAACAGACAAACTTTTTTTTCATATGACCCTCTTTTCAGTCGAGGGAATATTAAGTTCATTCATTGGCGGGCCGGCAAAAAAATTTCAAGGGAGCAATAAGGTAGTTTCGGACCCGTACAAAATACTTTTAATCATTTTTTGCCCTCTGAAAATTTTTTCAGGGGGCAATTGACCCCCCCTCGCCTCCTCTGGCCCGCCGATAGATTCATTGAAATGCTCCTCCATTACATTTATCTGATGGCTTTATTCAAAAACCACTAGATAATTATTTCATGAACAAAAAGGATAAAAACTGGTTATTTTACAAAAAGTGCGAAGAGCATAAAATGTGGCAACTTATAGATCCTGGTTCGGCTATTTTGAATGGTTTTAGAAATGAACAAGTACCACGATTACCAGAACTAGTCGATAACTAACAAAACTTTGAAGAATTTAATAACTTTTTTAGGGCATACCGTAGTCTCTTTTGTTTTCTTTAACAAAAAGGCTTTTTAAAAATCATTTCTTTTGTTTGGATACCAAGGGGAAATTTTTGATTGATTTTTCTGCGTTGGGGGAAATTTTTCGTTTTTACAGAAGATTCTGCACCCCTGGATGTCTCCATCGAATCTTCAACGTTATTATAATGATATTCTTCTTCGTTATTCACATCGAATTATTTCATTAAATGTATCGAATAATTGTGACTTTGTTCGAAATTGTTTTCGATATAATCCGTTCTCATGTACTACTCGGTTGAAATCGTTTCGTCACGACACGATAAATTTTGAACATGAGAATTATTTTCCGAAAGATCACTTCATTATCAAATCTTTCAACATCAGTTATCGATCCTTTTGATTGTGACGATTTTGAACAGCAGATTCATCAAATACTTTATAAACAAGCCAATTAATTATGAATATTTACCCAAAATCTTATCTTATGTTCCACAACTTCGTCGTTTGTCGCTCAATGGTGCCCATAATATAAGTTTAATTCCGAAAGTTGACAATCCCGTTGAATTGAATCATTTGACACATTTATTTCTGAAATTACACGATGGGAACGATTAATTCTATCTTCTTTGCCTTTTTTATGCATTTTTGACATTTATATTCGTGGAATTAGTTATCATTCATATGCGCCACGTTGCGCAGAATTTCATTCTTTATTTTGGATAAAAAGACAATGGTTTTTTCAAAGGGAGATTTTCGAAAGATTTAATTAAACATATCTTTTTCTCTCGTCTTTTCATAGACAATCTTAGCTGCTATCGTACTATGTTTTCTATTCTGGAAATCCGTACAGGTAATGTCAATATTTGGTTCAATGACGAAAAATATTCGTTTAATTGTCTTTTAAAGACGAAAACAATTTACATTTGCGTGGAAAATCGATGAATCGAATTATTTAAATAATCACAAAATTAATTTCATCTTCAGATTCGATTTTGAATTGAAACTTTCCTTTTCCTAATACTACTGATCTTATTCTTGAAATGATTCACATTCAATAATGAATATTTTAAAACAAAGTATCCCTTTGGAAAATTTATCAAAACTGCATATAATACGAGCAGGAAAATTACTCAGTAATTGAAATGTCAGTCTTCAACAGAGTACCATTTATCTTTGGAAATAGGAGCGTTTTTTCAAGTTTCGACAGACACTGAATTCGAGTGCGGAATATTTATTTGTCGTTGTATAATCACAATACTCATGAGAAAGTCAAATCAGAAATGGAATCTTTCGAATTCATTACAATAACACGTGTACCTTTGATGTCTAAATAAGACGCTTCTTGAAAATGTTTATACATTGTATGGAAACCAACTGGGCTAATGACTTCGACAAGATAGAGATCCTTTTTCTTGTTTTCTTTTTCATCGTATTTGCGGGCGTTGGGCGGTGAGTGTGGTGAATACTTGAAGAAGTTAATCATTCCGCTATAATACCTGAATGATTAAATGCAACTTTTGAGTTTGACACTACGTAGTATTCTTTCGTATGAAATCTGTGCTATAGAAAGTTTTTATACTCAATTAATTATTCAGGAGAGAGAGCGAGAGTCACGCCGTTCATCCACGATGAGCATTATTTCCATAATTTATTATGAAAGTTTTCAACTGGTCTCTGCGGCAATAGAAAATTCTATATTATTTGAATATGTTATGACGTAAATGAAAAGATAATAAGTTGAAAACAAGGTTATAACGAGTATACGACAATACAATGTGAGTTATTGTGAATATAACTTCATCAATCGAAAACATTTGTCAATACTAAGTAGAGTTCTGCATCTGGAGTGAGTATTTTCTGAGCAGAGACGATATCGTAGTTCTTGGATTGTTTTGAAGATGTACGATGAATACATAACTCGATTCTCTATTCATCAAATACCTTGAAAAGAATTTAACAACTGAACTGAAGTCTCTGCTCTGAAAACAATCAATCCTGATGCAGAACCCTACTATAACGAACTTGAGAAGAGAAGTGCCCGTGATATGATGACACACACTTTATTTGGCTTCTTCACGTAACAAGCTCCTGTTTAGTTATGAGATACACGCTTATATAGGTAACAGAGAACAATGGATATCAGCCAAGTATAGCGGTCATGCTAGTGTCGATGAGTCAAGGTCGCGTACAGGTCAGAATATAGCAATATATCCCGTTACATCTCCCCCCACTGTGATGGGAGCACTCCTGTGCGACAACGCAACATCAGGAAAAGAAACGTGAAAAAAAAATCAAAGGAAATACAAAACAGATATGCACATAAATAGATTACACAATGAATGAGTACTTATACACGATTATTTACAGAAAAAAAAATTTATGTTGTAGTTTTCTTCTGATGATTGTGTAAGTGCATCTGTTTAAATAATATTGTTTTTAGTTGGGGATCAAATGTAACTTCATGTTTTTCGATAAAATCGTGACCGATTATGCAATCCAGTTGCATACCGTTGATCACAATCATATTGTCAAATCGAGTAGTGCCATTAAGTTTTATTGGCAATGATATACGACATACGACAGGTAATATTTCGTCGTTTATCATAAATCCACCTTCGTGTGGTGCAGCGCGCCGTTTACGTTTATTCATGCGAGTACCAAGTTTTGAGAGAAATCTCTTACTTATCATAGAGTCTGGATAATTAGAATTGATTAGTACACGTGCAATTGTATTGGAAATTTTGCCAAAGCCTACAGCAACATTTGTTTCGCCGATGAGAATAGTTTGTATTCTACTTCCTTGATTCGGCATGGACGTTGGATACGATGTACTAATTTTTGATGATTGACCTTTATCATCATTTGTTTTTTATGTGACGCATTGTTGATTAAGCAATGAATTCTCATATACCTGCTGTTTTCCACTTGGTTTCGCGATAGATTCACTGGTTGTGTTATGTTGACTAACTGTTGTAAATGTACTGGGGTTTTTTGGTTGTACAACTAAGTTGCAGTCGGACTTTCGTTTCGTTAAGCCTGATTTGCCATGACGAACTTGACACTGGCAGCGTGCACACTTGGCATTTAAAACCCTGAACCGCGCCAAGGAATTTATTTCAATAGAATCAAATCGCAGGCAAATGGCTTCTAACACACTAAAAATCGACTCCATAGCTGATGCAGATCATCCAGTTAAATGAAGGTGGAGGTTCTGAGTAGTGTAGAATTGTCACTGCGATCCGAAGCTGCAGAGAACGAGTGACAGGGTCGCCAGATATAACGAACTTGAGAAGAGAAGTGCCCGTGATATGATGACACACACTTTATTTGGCTTCTTCACGTAACAAGCTTCTGTTTAGTTATGAGATACACGCTTATATAGGCAACAGAGAACAATGGATATCAGCCAAGTATAGCGGTCATGCTAGTGTCGACGAGCCAAGGTCGCATACAGGTCAGAATATAGCAATATATCCCGTTACAATCATCATCTAAGTACAGATATTCTTGCTTTTAATCGCGGCATTTGCGCACATCTAGTCTCTGTTTGTTTAGAAATGAGTACCAACAACGAATACAACCGTGCAGTAATAGTCTATATGTGTTGTAGATAAACAATAGAATTTGCAACAACCAGCAATATTATTCACGAAGTCTGATATAATGCTATCGACAGGATTTGTATATATGAATATATAAAGCAGTCGAAGATGAGCGTGCCCGTGATCAAAGAAGGAAAATATGTGCATTTTGTTTTCAGCATATAAAATCGCGCCGTACGATACTGAAACTTTTTAGCTGAGTATACAGTCACTTTTTATTACCACTAAAAATAGTGAGAAGAAATCGTCATTGTTAAAGTCAGGTAAACAGGCTTGGATTAATTCATGTTCTTCTCAGTAGTTGCAGAAACCTCTCTTAACACATGAAAAATACTCTCCCATATTTGTTCTGGTTAGAGAGCTCTCGCTCAAAAGTATCATCTTCTGATGGTAAATGTTGTTAAGTTTTCAGTTTAGATCTAATATTTCCAACAATAGCCATGGCCGAGTTCAAGATAATAAATGCGTGCACAATGAGACATATTTCAATATACATATGTAATTTATAAGTAATGCCCACCCATTGAACTCGCTGGTCTGATACTAAAATGTTAGAACTATATTGTTCAGCATACTTGAAACACCATAGAGACTTGTTTCACCTCATAAACCAAACCACTTGTCTCTTTGAAAAAAAGTCGTTTTTGCCTAGTCGATTATAATGACCTATCCATAATATCCTCTGTTTTTCTATTTCTATTCGAATTCAATGAACACGTTTAGCTTTATACCATGTTTAAAACCAATGACATCCTACTGTACGCCACATGATGTTCTGTTTTT